TTGAGGGAGTACTTGAGTGGAGGCCCAATGTCCTTCTGCTACCTTAATACTAAACCTATAAATATATTCAGATAGATCTATTTCCCCATCCTCATATAGAAATATAATTACATATGTACGTCTTTATCTAGACCTTTATCTAGACCTCTGTAAATGCCCTTTGCCTCCCAGCTCTTTCCTCTTATTTCCCTTGACTTTCCTCATGTTCAGTCCCCACAGGGTTTCAGCAATTCCTCTTTGTTGCATTACCCTTGATCATGCCCTACCAGGCCTCTCACACCCACCTCACCGCCAATTTGGATCACTTTTTGTTCCCTTGTCCCTGAGTTTAACACCATTACCTTCCCCTCCCCCCACCCCATCCCTCTCCCATGTCCCCCCCTCCCGAAACCGTCGGTCCCCTTGTTTTCTCCTCCAGATTGTTCATCCAGCCTATCTTATTTAGACAGACCTGTGGAGATAATAACATGCACTCCTGCAGACAAATAAGTTCATGCAAATTCATAGCTTTGACTGCATTTACTTTTCTATGATTAGAACTGTTGTGGGCCAAACCCTATCCTCAGTTAAGGTGCATGTATGAAGCCAGCCTGGTGCTGGGTCCGCACACTCAGGAGTGCAGTTGGCATTTACAGATGCATTTGTCAAAAGGAAACAGAGAGTAAGAGTTGCATGAGCCCCAATAAAATGATTTAAAAAAAAAAGAATTGGCTCATTGGAGACTATCTAAAGAGGTGGTGATTTCCGAATCACTCTGAACATGACTCTCACAGATCTAAAATGCTGATGAATGAAGGACAGGTTTTTGCTTCCTTTCACCAAACAGCTGAAAAGACTAAGATGTTAAAGCAGACTAAAAATAAAACACAAGTTTTAGGCATTTTAAATCAGGGTTTGTTTGTTTTTTTTAATTCAAATTGACCCAAAGCAAAACTTACATTACAAAGGAAGAACAAAATACATTATGATAATAACACACAAAGATTTACATGAAAGCTAGATTTGGGGCAAACACCCTTATTCCAATCACATTCTGGGCTAATGAGCAATTTTGCAGAAAGTTAGGCTCTCTCCATGTCATATGGTCCACTCTGGTAATTAAACTGCACATTCTTGTCTCTTACGGGTGCATCTGACAAATTACACTCGTGCCCCTCATACTCCAGATGTGCACCCTTGCTCCTGCCAGAACACTGACCTCTCCAGTGGAGATGCTGTTCCAAGCACGACCGACGACAGGTTAAAAAAAACAAACAGTCAAATCTTCTGAACTAGTAAGCCTGGGTTATTATTCTGTAGTAAATAGTTTAGAAATATGGAAATTAAATAATCTAAAAACACTCTTACTCTGCTGTACATTTATAAACAAAAATATTTACAAAAAAACCCAACCTCTTGAGAAGATGAGGTTTGTAGTTCATTAATGAGCATAATCTTTTGTGAGCTGGTTTCTTTGGTGTATTTGCCAAATATGTTTTCATAAAGGTTCAGTCGTAGGTTTAAATAATTTTAAAGAGCTATAGAAGGATTAGTGACAAATTTGATACATTCTAAACATTTTAGTCAAGGTTCCAGAAAAGCCAGTAACTTGATTTTCTGACAATACTTGGTTCTACCCATTCTGTGACCCCGGAATGCTTGTCAATCAAATTAATCATGGACCTGAACATGCTCATCACTGTACTCCACCAATGACCAGCTTTGACACATTTTGTTAAATATGATACGCAATTGGGCTTTTATGAACAACAGAAATAAGGCATTCTTTTTAAGTGTCCAGATAAAAGCCTCAAACAATCAGTAATGGCATTATACACGTCTTCATTGACTAGAAATTTCAATTCTCCTCATTTTTCCTGAAGTCACAGCCGCAGAACAGAACAGAGAGCTGACCTTCATCGGACCTTTTACCTGGAATTTCCTGACTCAGACTCAGTGGCTAGCTTAGTTTGGAAACCTTTAAATAGATGAGGAGATAAAATAATTTGAAACTCACTGAATAAATGAACACACGTGTGAGGAAGTTAGCCCTATGGGAATGCAACATTCATATTTCTGTTCAGAGTGCAGAACTCCCAGGCACCTTCCTAGCTCCTCATTCCCCTGGGTCTAGAGTGTTAGAAAGAAGTGATCATTTATTTCTGGGCATGCCATATCCCTTCACCCTGCTAATGTGGTATAGCCTTGGCCTGGGTATTGTTTAAAGAATGAGGACATCGTTCTACTCCTTTCTTCACAAGGGACTCTTTCTTGGATGTAACTTTCTAGAGATAATCTTACCAGGAACAGGGCAGGCCTAGTGATTAGGTTCAAGCTCCAGTTTGGGCATGGTTATAAAACCACTCAGACTCTGCCTGGTTGCCTACAAAAGAGTCCATGAACCACACTAGCAATCCCCCAGTTCATCCTTTTCCCGAAGTGGCCTACAGTCTTTATTCAACTGCACCTTGCCTTGGCACACTGGACCAGACATTCTGGTGCCAGAGCTGTTCCGTATCTTTGAGAACACACTTTGTGCTTGGGAAACAATCACTGGCCCTGAAAACAAGCAAATCTTGATGAGATTCCTATTTCTAAGCTTAGTTATACTTCTCACTTGAAATAATTTTATGCGTAATGACTTAAACTAGACATTCAGAGTTCTTCAACTTGTAAACGTGTTAGCAAATTCATCGTCAGTGTGTAAAAACTTTGACATTTCCAAAAGCACTCAGAACAATACTGGAGTTTGAGAAGGTTCCTCTGAAGCTAAGCAAATGTTAAATCAAGCACCAAACACATCTCTTAGATCACTGCTGCCTGTTAAGTTGCACAGAATCTCTCTTCTCTCTGTGTTTATCCTGCCAACAAATGTCCCATCGACTCAGAAAACACAGTCATCCTTTGGAGGAGCTTCATGGGGTAGCCTCAAAACAAATATGAAATGTCTAATGAGCACATTAGAAATTAATGAGACTTATAATTTGTCTTAAAAGACTTATAAATCTTACTTATAAAAATGCATCCATTAGAAATTTTACCCTATTTTACAAGTGAAATGAGAAGAAACACCACGAGTGAAAACATTCCAAACTATCCAACTGTCAAAGCTGAATGTCTGAACAATATTTGGGGCTCTTTTTAGGGAATACTCTTACCACCAGGTTATGAAATTTTCTGTCCAAAATGAGGTCAAGAGCAAAGCTGAAAATGGAAATGGCAACTGACCTACTGTGGTTCTGCAATGCGAACGACACCGGTGGTTCCTGTTCTCACGGGCTTGTGGCTTGTCAAAGCTGGCTGTGGAATGATGAACCACAGGAGGTCATGGATAAAAGACACCAGAAACGAGTTCTGCACAGGAGGCACTGTTTCACACACAGAATACACTGGCTTCTTAAAGTTACTTTCTTTTGCATTAATTTTTTAAAAAGCACAACTCAGCTAGAGACAGAAGTCGAGACTCAAAGCCTCTGGGTAGTGCACTACAGTTAAAAAATAAATAAAAACAAGAGCACATGAATAGGAAAGCACGGGTACTGGATTAATGCTATCTCAAAGCTACATCAATTAGAAAAAGAACAGTTTCAAACAGCCAATCTATACTCATTGAAAATGAATGAGGTGGCAGCATCACTTTTGGAATTTCTCAGGACATCTAATGTAACCCAGGATCCCTTGGGTGAATGTGGGCATCAAAATGTTACTTTAACAAGTGCTTTGCTGGTTTAAAATACACAACATTAAAACCAGGAGTAATTTGGAATGGGGAAGTTCTCCACTCTGAACCTACTTGTTCCATTTTAGAAAAAAACAACAACAACACATTTTTTCTAAATGCAGTATTGTATAGAAAGCTTGGACCACATAAACTTGGACCAAGAAACCAAATTAAGACCTTCAAGCAAGTGGTGTGGGTTTGTGTGTGTATGTATGTATATATATCCCCACCCCTACCATGAAAACCAACCAAACGAACAACCAAAACCCACAAAAAAAAACCCCAAACCCTAAAAGTGTATATCTGCTTTCTGACTTCACAGCAAATCAGAAATTGCATAGGATATACTTTGTGCAAGGCAAAAAGCCTTTTAAGTGTCAGGAATATAACTCATAATCTTGCTCAAAGTTCTGTGGATATCAGATATCATCAAATTTGTGTTTTAAGTAGTCTTTCATGACCTTGGCAATTGGTAGTTCGTCAAGTAGTTTTAGGTTTTGAAGGCCTATACGCTGACGAATTTTAATTCGGCACAGGTCCTGCAAGTTTCTGGGCTGCCCTAAAAAGACAGAAGAAGTATAAATGTTACAGAGCTACAAAGCATAGTACTGAAGGCAAGCTTTTACATTTTAAAAATAATCACGTCTTTCTCTGTGAAGCGACTTTACATGCAAAGGCCTGGGCAGGCAAAGTCACGTGAAAAGTGGCGAGAGGGCCCTTTCTGTGATACCAGTGCGATTCTTTTTACAGCCCTGGAATGGGAGGTACTCCCCACCTCCCCTCCGCCCATTTAATAGATGAGGATACTAAGCCTTAAAGATTCAAGGAAATTGTTCCACGCCAGACAACTAAGTAAGGTGTTAGATTGAAACTGAAGTCAGCTTCTCTACTCCTTAGCTCAGTCTTCTTTCTGCTACAAATCAGGAAAATTCTGCCCTCTCCTGGCTAGGCCTCTTACATGTTGGGTAAGTGAGCTTGGTGAGCACACTGCTGCATTTCCCGATGGCTCGGCTTCTGCCCCTCAAGTGTGACTCAGATGCTCTCTGCAGGAGCCTCCTGGAGCTTCCCCACACCACACCACACCACACCACACCACACCGTCCCCGCTGATCCTGATTCTGAAGGGCAAAGTCTAGATGAGGGCCGAGAAAGGCAGGCAAGGATGGGGTTGCAAAAGCACCCCAAATTATTCTGACTTTATGTTTCTGAAATCTCAAGGCCTGGCTACCTGCCAATAAAATGTGTGCTAAAACGTAACACAGTGGTTCTCAACCTTCCTAAAGACTGTGACCCTTTAATACAGTTCCTCATGTTGTGGTGACCCCCCTAACCATACAATTATTTTCATTGCTACTTCATACCTGTAATTTTGCTACTGTTATGAATCGGGCGACCCCTGTGAAAGGGTCATTTGACCCCCAAAGGGGTCACAACCCACAGGTTGAGAACCACTGACAACACAAAAAGAAAAATCATAAAATTCAATTTCCCCCTTTCAAATATATTGAGCAAAACCATACACAAGATCATATACACAAGCAAAACTTTTCAGCAACAGCATTGTTTGAAATCACATAGATTATGACTTAAAATTGAACAGTAGACTGATTACAAGGATCTACATATAACCTCCTCCCTGGGGGACCGACAACAGAAAAGTGGGTGAAGGGAGATGTCGGACAGTGTAAGATACATGACCAGTGGTGTGAGTGACGAAACAGGGAGGGTAGAGGGAGAGTGGGTAGGAAAGAGGGAACCGATTGCAAGGAACTATATGTGACCTCCTCCCTGGGGGACGGACAACAGAAAAGTGGGTGAAGGGAGACGTCGGACAGGGCAAGATATGACAAAATAATAATTTATAAATTATCAAGGGCTCATGAGGGAGGGGAGAGCGGGGAGGGAGGAGAAAAATGAGGACCTAATGCCGGGGGTTTAAGTGGAGAGGAAATGGTTTGAGAATGATGAGGGCAATGAATGTACAAATGCGCTTTACACATTTGATGTGTGAATGGATTGTGATAGGAGTTGTATGAGCCCCTAATAAAATGATTAAAAAACAAAAAAGATATGACAAAATAATAATTTATAAAATATCAAGGGTTCATTAAGGAGGGGGTAGCAGGAAGGGAGGGAGGAAATGAGGTGATGATATCAAGGGCTCAAGTAGAAAGCAAATGTTTTGAGAATGATGATGGCAACAAATGTACAAATGTGCTTGACACAACGGATGCATGTATGGACTGTGATAAGAATTGTATGAGCCCCCAATAAAATTATTAAAAAAAAACTGAACAGTAGTAATAACAAAAGCTAACATGCACTGACCATTTATTCTGTTCTATGCACTGTTATAAACCCTTGGCATGCAATAACTACTTTAATCCTTTTATGAAGGCCATACTTTGATCATCACCCCCATTTGACAGACTTCCTGAGTCTCAGAGACATTAAGCAGCAGGTTCAAAGTCGAGTAGAACACCATACTTCAGTAGTTCTCAAACTTCATGGCATCAAAACCTCTGGTACTTTTAAACATTATTGAGGATTCAAAATAAATTTGGTTTATGTGTTTTAAATTTATCACATTGGAAGCTAAAATATAAATTTTAGAATAGCTATTAAAGTATTGACAAATAACAAAAACTAACCCGTTGGATATTAATATGATTAACATTATGAAAAATAACTATATTTCCCAATACAGCCCCCTCCCCACCAAAAAAAAAAAAATCAGTGAGAAAAAAATTGCACTTTCACATTTCTACAAGCTCTTTATGGTTTGGTTTAACAGAGGACAGTCAAATTCTCTATATGGTTTTACATTCAATTTGCTATGATAAAAACCACAGCATGTACATGCACGAAACAATGAATATGAACAAGTATGATACTAATATTATTATGAAAATCACTTTTATCTTACAGAGACTCTGAAAGGGTTTCAGAGATTTCTGGGTCTTAGGGAAATCCAAACCACACTTGGAAAAGCCATGTTGTATTGAATATTTTATCCCTTGCTTGAGCTGTTCTTGTTTATAGTGGCAAACATGATGGACAATTAAGAAATTCATCATATATGAAATGGCTCCATAACACTCAGACTTCTGCTCTTTAAGGGCTCTAAAGACCTTGTGCTTTCCAAGAGAGTTGCTTGATATGTAGTCTCCTAACAGAATCATAACAGAATCTACTGCTTTCCTAGAAATATCTGGGAACTACTAGGTGCATGTACATCCGCAGATGTTTGTAGTAGGACCTGTACATGAACATGACACACACACACACACACACACACACACACACACACACACATCTCCTAGTGTGTCTCTCATCTTCATTTGTCAGATCTCTGCTACAGTGGCATTTTATCAGGAGTCAAAATTAGGCTTCCCTACAGGCATTCTCAGAGCTCTTACTAGGACACTTAACAAGGGAGCCGATTCACATGCACTGATGCTGAGCTTTCTTCTTTCATGACGTAAGTCCCATGAGAGGACGGCCATTGCTGCCTCCAGGTGCAATGCCTGGCACAGGACTCAACTAACACTAGACGTTGGGTCAAGGGATAGTTTTTTCCTTTAAAGTATAAAAGCATCAACTCATTGTAGTATTTTGAAACGTCAACAGCAAATCATTTTGTAATCTGTTTTGAATTGGTTTTCATCAACATTTAGGGACTATATGAGAATAAATTATGACTGTCATTTAGTTGATCTTGTAACACAAACCAGAATATGAACGAGATGGTAATTCTTTTTAAAAAAGAATTTGATTTTCCTCGTAGATAGCAGTTTTAAGTATTATTTTCCTAAAAAAGAACCACCACACTATAATCAGGTGAACAACAGATGTGGACAGAATTGACAAAGGCGGGTATTCCAACATGTTACAAAATCACAGAAATATTTATTAAACAGAAATATCAAAACGTGAAGCTATTGATTCTTGATATATCCTCTATCTAGGTTTATAACTGAAGGTAGTGTTTCCGGCTCTCTAGTCCTTCCCTGAGGAGTACACACCATGCCCAAACAGCAATTTTGTCATTCTAGAGGGTCTCAAATTGTGTTCCTTTTAAAGCGTTGAGTTAAGGGAACAAAGTGTGAACGGGCAAGATCAGGGCTGCAAGGTAGATAGCTAAGATTTCCCAACGGAAACATTGAAGGACAGCCCTTGCTACCCTTGAAGAATGAGCAGGGATAATGTCACATTAGGGGGAAAAGTCCTTAGTGTGAGCTTTCTGGTGCTTTTCTCTATCAATGCTGCTTTCAATGTTCTTAAAACTTCCTAGGCCCTATGATTACCCTGTATCCTTGGAGAAAACCTATCGAGATTCTCCTTAAGAATTCCCAAAGCAGAATCCAGAACAGATAAACCCTTCAGGACCAATAATGAGAGTAGCAATACCAGGAGGGGAAGGGGAAGGTTGGGGGAGAAAAGGGGAACTGATCACAATGATCGACATATAGCCCACGCCCAGGGGAGACAAACTCTAGAAAAGTGGGCGAAGAGAGACAGTGGTGGGTGTAAGCCGTGAAAAAATAATAATTCATAAATTACCAAGGGTTCATGAGG